AAAACAACAAAAAAATAAATATTTGAAATTTGGAGTTAGGAAATGACGCGTTTTCAATGTGAAGAAGAATCTGCCCCTAAGTTGGAGCCGTCTATTAACGCATCACCTTGTATATATCTAAAAATGATTACGTTAAAAAATCGCATACGAATGGCGCGTTCAAATTTATCCATAATTTTTATCGTATCTAAATGGGGTACCGAGATAAGCTAAGTACTTGGCCATTTTGTACGCATTAGTATCTAGCAAACTGGTTTCGCCGTTACTATCATCAATCTCAAACTGGTCCACATTTTGTCTCGTATCGCGGTTACCGGTAACGGGTCAAGCCAAAGCAAACATAATCCGTAAAAGAATTCATTATTACCTAACTACTTTCTCTAATGTATTCATTTTACCCGACCCATAGATTACGATTTTATCTGTTTTGTATAAAGTTGTCGCTGTTGATAAGAATTTAATAAAAACAAAATCGTCATATATACGTGATCGTGATTCTGTTTCGTGCGCTACTTTTAAAGCGTCAACGCCGCTTAACGATTCATTTTTAATTAACTATAAAACGCATTCGTTACTATTTCAACGCTATCCGCATTCCAGCGTTGCCTTTTATTTCTTTTGCGTCGTCGTTCCATACTATAAAATTCGACGCCATAGAAGGACAGTTAACTATTTTGTACAACCGGCATCTGGTCTGCAAGTTTCAGCGAAATTTTGTACCGCGTAACGTGCGGTCAGATATGCAGATCCACGCGACAATTCTTTTTCCACACACCAGATGATCCCATCTTCGCAACATGACACCATACACCACCATGACACCACATCCTTTGGCACGCGAAATTTACCGGAGTGCACCAACCGGCACATGAAAATGGTGTGCGAGCATTGGTGCGGGAAAATGCTTTCCGCAGCTGGTGTTGACCGGTACGCCGGAACCCAGAATCTATATAATTTTTTCTTCTTTAAGTTCCGAGGGTTACCTCTTGAAATAGCTGATTTGTGGAATAACTGAACCCGTACCGTATGTTTCTCAACTAGAAGTAGCGCCTTCTTCCCACGCTCGCAATAAGTGGTACTTATCTCCATCATTACATATTCCAAGTATTGAAGCTTCTGTTTCTTTTTTGAAATAAGTCTTTTCACTTCCAGACTCCTAAGAGTCCATGCTTCTACGCCATAAGATCTTCAGATCTTAAGATCTAAACACCCTTCTCATTTCTATAAATGTTCCTCGCCAGTCCTATTTTGGTTTTAATTTTTACGGAACAATTTTTATTCTTGTTTATCATACATCTTTTCTGTAGCCTGATTATTTATAAACATTTGGGTGTTGTCTTGAGTAGTCTTGGCTGATATTATAAACTTGGTCTTTTTTACATGTAGTCAGTATCATTCGCTCATGCCATTTGCTTTTTCTAATGCATTTAAATGTACCAATTTGTAGTAGTTGTTTTATTGAAACGTAAGCACTATAAAGAGAGTCTTCAAATGCAGATATAGGCTTTGAGTATTCAGAATTCAGATATAGAAGTCCTTTTAATTTGAACCATTTCAAAATAAATGCAAAAAAGTCAATTGTTTAAAATAAAAGGTGGTTTTTAACTTAAAAGGGAGATGTCGAACCAAATATGGTGGAAATGTAATATTTTCAGTTTTTATCTTAAAAACGAAAATAGATCAATAAAATGTTACGCCAGATTATTATTATAAAAAATGTTTTATTTGGCGCCCTTTGTCTCCTAAAAAAAATCTATTATTGTTTTATCGGGCATCGGTTAGTTAGTTTGGATTTAAAATCCTACGAATTCAATGAAAAATTTATTATCTAGTCATTTAATTGTTTAATTATAAGAGTTTTAATTCAATAATAGTGAATTACATTACATTAATGCAGAAATGACAGATACGAGTTTTATGTATGGGTGTGCAAACGGAAATTCGTTGGAAGCTTGTGGTCTTTATACACAAGCGTATCCTAATCGTAGACCCTCTCATCATAGCTGTTTATTAGGCTTCATCAAGGGTTGCATGAATCTGGAAGTTTCGGAAAAAAGAGTTTTGATACCCGTCGAAATTCGAACACACGGATTAAATGTTGCTGTGCTAAATATACTTGAAGTGCAACCGGGACAAGAATCACTAAATTCACTACTTTCTTGGGTATTGGGCTGTCTAATTATTTTTCTATTTTGGCTGGTAATATCTTTGTGAAAGGAAACTTGAATACTATTTTTTTAATACCCCATCGGTGGCAATTCTCCATTGTTGGACTGGGTTCGTTGTATAAATTTTGCCCGTCTACCATCGTACAGTCGTTAATCTCTTATATAACTTGCAGAAGTTTCGTGTAGACGTTGGCATTTCTTTATTTAAACAATGGCGGCTTTGTAACGCGATATCGCACTAAAAGCCGTTTTCCTTAATAGGAACCAAAACCGAACAATATCTCGCCGGTCACTTTCTTTTTCTCCGTGTGGCAATGTTTATTTGTACGTCAGATTTATTAGTAACTCGGCATTGTTATTAATCTTATTTTTTACGTTTTTCGTAAGCCGCAAACGATTTGTTGTCGTGAAATATTCCGTTGTATTTAATACAACGTAAAGACATAACGAAAATCGTCGATTATTGTTCTTAATGCATCGCTGCGCTCAATTACCGTGTTCTGCGCTTTTATTAAGTCGGTTAAATTCGCGAATAACCTAGAACACTCTCCTCACATTAGGGTATTAATAATTATTTATATTCGGTAAAAAGTTGGTAGTTGTGGTTGGTCCATTTCCCTTTTGCTTTCATTTGAGATCCCTTGGTCTTTGTCTTGCACACTTACTTCATCCAACCCGCCCTTCCTATGGTAGTTCAGTACCTTTCTTTGTCAACAAGCGGCCATGTTAAATATCGCAAGGTTATTGGTTAAAAACAAAATTTTAAATCTCGTGCATGCGAACGTTGAATGGACTTTCTCAAAATGTTCATAGTTATTATTATTAGCTACAGTCGATCAAAATAGTGTTCGTACACATAGTATTTTTTCATTTTTCTATTAGTTTCTTCTTTCACTTACATTTAATGAGAAATATATTTCAAGTAAATATCGGCAATCTCATTAAGAGTAATAAAAATCATTTGAAACATTTTATTTAAACGATAAAAATAAGGCAGTTTTAGAAGCAAGAAAGTATGTCAAATAAGTCTCCGTACACTTTTATTTCTTATAATAAATTGAAAAGCGTCTGAAAGTCTAATATTTTTCGTACAATTGCCATTTGCTTTAATAATGGCATTAAGTCTTTTTGGTTTAAATTATTCTTCAGGATGTTCAAATAGCGTTGGTCCATGATTCTGTTAATAAAAGCTAAATTGCCTGCCCCATTAGCGGACCTGCACCCTAGGACAGACATTTTCGACTTTCAGAGATGTATTTTTTTCCTCCAAACTTCATCCCCACCATTTGACCCAAAAAGATTAATTTTTGTTTCGTTACTAAAGATAACGTTTTTCGGTTTTGTTAATGTGTTCTTCGGCAAATTCCAAAGGTTTTTTTCGATTTTTTTTCGAAATTAATGGTTTCCTTCTGGCAATGCTGACGTTATAACCTGCTCGATGCAAGAAGCAGTTTCTAATCATCTGAGGGCTAACATTTTTTGAGAACTCTTCCCTGATTTCCTCTGCAGATTTTGGAGCGCTTGTTTCATAACTAATTATAATTTTTTTCACAACAGAAGTCTCTTCTCGTGCAGTTAACTTCCTGGGACTACCAGAGCGCTTTATAAGATCCGGTGGATTTGTATTGATTTATTACATACTGTAGAATTGAATGTGATTTTTTAATTATTTTACCAATATCTCTAAAGGATTTTTTCTCTTTCCATAAATCTACTATGAGTTTTTCGAAGCGCAATTGGAATTTCGCAATTTTTAGCGCTCATTTTGGTTTTACTTCAAAGCCACTGACTTAAAACTGGCGTCAAAAATAAACAAGTATAACTCATTTGTTTAAGCGAAATTTGATACAAGCTGACTTGATATAATATTGATAATTAACGGTTCTATCTGCAGTTCTGAATAGTGATTTATTAATGTGTATGGAGATTTATTTGACATAGTTTCTTGCTTCTAAAACTGCCTTATTTTCAATTATTCAAATAAAGTGTCTCAAATGATTTTTATTTTATTTATTATTACTCTTAATGAGATTGCCGATATGTACTTGAAATATATTTCTCATTAAATATAAGTGAAAGAAGAAACTAAAAGAAAACTGAAAAAAATACTATGTGTACGGAGTCTTTTTTGTCCGACTGTATATAGTTAATCCTAAACATTTCCTTTTGAATCAGAAATAAATATAATTTAATTAAAAAATAGCCGCACTCGCAATGGCATATGCCCAGCACATTTTCCAACCTCGTTGTCGTAATAACAGTTGATTTCTCATTATCGGAGGCCTTAGCAGGTTCTCGAACGAATATCGGGTTACAATAATTCCTACACCTACGTCACCTTTTTATATAACATAGTTATTGTTGTTAAAACCATAACACAGATGTTGCGTTATTTAATACCGCTTCTGTAATTACAGTACTAACCTTCGGAATGGGTTTACTTGAAAATCCCACGCACTTCTTATTGGTTTTCCGCGTGCATTTCGCCTTCCGCTGTCCATTTCCTATTTATGTTTTATCATCGTCAAGGTCCGAAGATGAAATTTGCAAAACGACCGCTCGATCCGCCTTTTCGACCCGCGACGGCGAATTTAAATTGAAAACGGACCCGACACTTCGCTTTTAAAACGGACGAGACGTTCCGTTGTAAATATTTATATTTTTGCCGAATATGGCGCATTGCTAAATATGAATAAAACATCTTCCAGGCCCTTTGACGAACAAAAAGAGCGCGCCATAACTTCAAATTAATTGAACGGCACGCTCGGAATTTGTATTTTTCCTTCCTAATAACTAAGGTAAAAGCGGTTTCGAAATCAAAAAGTCCCCTCGTTGGATGTTAGCGTTTATTGCATTTTGGAAATTAAAACTGGAAATTTCAGCTGGCGAACTCAATCGTCGGCATTTGTGCTGGTGGATGGTTCTTCAGTTGTTGTTTGCCCTGAAATATGATCGATTGCTTTGTAACGTTACTGGTTTATGGCGCACTTTAATTTTCTATTAAAATAATAATCTAGGTTTGCTGTTGACAACAGTCTTTTTAATTTTTACGCTACAGGGTTTATTTTTTGCTGAATTGGACAGAATACAAAATACAAATACTGCACATGGAGAAAATTGTGGTAAATCAATGTTACATCTTTTTAAAGGAAATCGTATGTATATTTATGGATGGAAAGTCCATGAAAATACCTTATAAATGAATTCTTTTACAATAATAAATAAACTTTAATTTAAAATAATCTGCTATTAGTTATAGGTCAGAAAGAAGTATCTCCCAAACACAAACACAAACTCTGCTGACAGCAGCTGCAAACTGCCTTTCATAGGTGAACAATGGGATATTTATTTAATGAATGAATAATTGTATATTTTGATGCAAGATAAATACACAATGTAAAATATTTCCAAGAAAGATTCTCTATAAAATATTTTTCTTATACGGTAACAATTCAATAAGATTATCTCTAAAGCTTAAAAGATAAATAGCTGCAGAGCTGAGTAATAGCAATATTTTATGCCAAAATCACAACCACCCACCTTCTCTTTTGACCGTAAGTGAAATCTTTCATTTTCTCATTAGTCCACTTTTTAATTATAAATAATAATACATAAATAATGTATATATGTATAATGTATCAGGAAAAATCATTAACGGCATACTTTTTTCAGCAACTCACCGTAAGCACCTTGGACAACTAACAATGTTACTAGAACAAATGCGGCAAATGCCAGTACTTGCTTCAACACCTAAAACAAAATAGCATTTAAAATAGTAACATTAGCTTAACTTATATTTGATTAACTATATCCATGAACGCTATTTTGATTTTTGTGATATTAATGTAGAGAATTATTCTCCTGTTTTCGTTGTCAAATTTTTTCTTTCCTATGGGCCACAAAGAGAATAATAAACACTAACCAAAATTGCTCCTCAGGTACAAAAAATTAATTTTGGTTAGTTTAAATTAATTGAATGGTTTGTTTTTAACTTATTTAATTTAATTTCCAGGAAATCACTAAGATCTTCGTAAAAAAACGCGTTATTTCTGCCGCAAATTAAGATTAAATTAAATTTTTTGGGTATTAAAATATGTAGTTTTTGACAGCATTTAATTAATTTTATCTTTCAAATAATTGGAATTTTAATAAGCCGATTTAATATCAAGCATTTATGAAAAATGTATTTTATTGGTAATATCTTATCAAATATTGTTGGTCTAAAAAGTACATTTCTTCGAACCTCGAATGCCCTTGAAGTTATTACATGGCACAATAATAATAAATTAAAATAAAGTTGACATATGGAATGACGAAAAGGTCAAACGATGTCACATGACTCGTTTCTTAAATAAATTTGGAATATGATACCCATTTTAAAACATGCGGACCCCGTTTTCGTTGCTCAGAATCACGTAACCGGTTAAAAACAACTTTGGTCAAATTTTGCAACTAACCAAAACTATAAAATGTCATTTTCACTTCACACTTACCTTCATACTTAACGCACTTGGTTTCAAATGTACGCGCACTGGTGGGGTAACGTGTTCAATGGAACTACCGTGGGCTTAGCCATTTTTTATATACTCCAATGCAATTAGTTTTTGTTTGTGTTAAATAAGGTAATAATACGTTTTAACAATAAAGCAATTTAAGGCAGTAATCCAGCACTCAGCGATAAAGTGTTGATAGAAATTGGGTTTTAGGTGAGTAAGTATATTTAAATAGTTTAGAATGGTTTAGTGCTCTGCCGTAACATGCACTTTGTTATCATTAACTCCTTGCGATATTTCTTTTCAGTACGTGCAATACAATGTAAACGGCAAATTAAAGTGCGCCAACAATTAGTTGACTCAAAAGAAATCTCGATGTAAAGATTCTACTCGATGTTAAAGTAGTGTATAAATCACATTCCATTCTTCGGCACAAGCAATGATCTTTGCAATTTCTTCCATTGTTTTAAAAGTAAACCACGAATTTTTACATATTTTTTAGATGTTTTAGAAAATTTGTGTTCCCTTTATATTGGGCTTCTAAAATTATCAATTAATCTGAAAGCATTCGATTCCTGCCTGCCTGTGTTGACTGCCGTCTTTGTGCGAGTCTAGTGTATCTCAGGAGATGCTCCCACCCAAATGTAAAAAACATTATTCTATTGAAACTTGAAAAGTTATAAACAATGTTTACTTGACTCTCATTGAATGTGGGGCCAGCAAGCAAGCATCTTTAGAAGAAACGGCCCCATTGATGAAAATTCCAACATCAACTGTATGGAAAATCGTGAAACCGGTGTTAAATGTGGCAGAACTACCTTATGGAAGTGTATTATGGGTTTTAGATTTAAAAAAATTGACAAAAGGCCAGTTTTAATGGAATCTTTTAGAATTCGGAAATGGCGACTGGAATATCTAGAAAAAATTAGGATTTACAGAGAACAACAAAGGCCAATTATTTACTTCGTTTATTAGTTCGACACTTATGATACCCCGGAAAAGAGATGGATTGACTCAACTGATAAGTGTAAAACAAACGCGCCACCAAAAAGAGATAAAAGAATAACTATTTTGCATGCTGGCTCTAAAGATGGTTGGATTCCAAATGGACTTTCTCTGTCTGCGAAAAATATTAAAGATTCTTCTCTGGATTACCATGAAGACACCACCGCTGATTTTTATGAAATTGGTTTGAAAACAAACTAGTTCCAAACATTCCTCCTAATAGCGTCATTGTAATGGACAATGCAAGTTGACTATGACCCTTTCCTCATGTGACATAAAAGCAACAATCCATTATATATATAATATGTATAATAAAGACATTTATTTTCACGAAGATTATACCAAAAATTTAAACATAAATACATACATAAATAAAAAAATATTGCTTAGTATCTTTCCTAACAAAATCCCAAATAATTAAATTCTAAGCAAAGTACAGACCTGTTCGGCCTTACAGCTTGCCCAGGTCTTTCCTTAATTCGTATCACTTTCTTATATCTATGAACAGACTTTACAACGTTCTCCTTGGAACGGGTTTGTCATTCAAGAGTGAAAAAGACAAAACATCCGTTTACACATAAGGGATGAGATAAAAAATCATTCCGAGCCAAGTAAATTTTCGGCAAATGCTACTCGAACCCACAGATCTATGATTCCAGAAGACGTAGCATTTAACAGAGAGTCATTTTGCAATGATATCGGCGGGATCCCGAAGTTGAAAAAGGTAATAACAATTGTGAAACGTTCGGCCACGAACACCGCAACAATAAACAAATCCCTAAATTTACAGTGCCCAGCATAAATTAACAACGGAGGAACAGCCTTTTAATATCGCGTACCGTACAGTCACGATCGAAGATCGTGATCCATAATTAGTTGTTCTCGAGTTATTCAATTTATAATGTAAGGAACCCGGTTTAATTTGTGTTATTGTGTTGAGACTACTCGCCGACTTTAATCTAGCTCATTTCGGTACATTCCACGGTTAAAATCGCGTTGAAGGTGAATTACGGATTAGGCGTGCCCGCAACACTTGCGGAGTGTTGCTTCTTCGCTTTGTATCGCCGTCCGTCGTCTATTTTTATTTCCGTTGTTGCTTTGCTTCGCTGATGCGTACCTACCAGCACCATTTTTTTTTCTGCCGCCATCTGCTACCATTGTTTTGTTTTTGTCTTTCAACATGATACCTCACATCTCTTCGCCTTGTTCGTTTGGTCAAATATAGTGGGCATATATCAGATGAACCAATTATGCCATCTTCTCTGAAATCTGAGGGAAGTTTTTGAATTCTTGAAGTTGTGTAACCACTAGTTCACCTCAATTATCAGCATCCTATCGTTACAAAAATGAATGCTTTGAATGAATTCTTTCAGTTTATGGAATAAGGCGAAGGAAAGAACACTGATATTTAGCTTATTTTCTTTTGTAAGCTTTGATTCCTCGGTCAAGCTCGATCAAGCCGCAGGTGCTGTTACATGAAGGGCGGTGGACCTAGTTTTATCGACAGTAGTGAATCTGACGCAGCAGACCAAATATCACGAGCAGATCAATGTTTCTTTACAAAAAACAGTTTTCGGTCGCTCAATAGCAGTAGCTGGTTCACAGGTCTTTTTTCCAAATTCTTTAGCTCGTTCAGGTGCAGATTCAGCCATTACGTAAACTAACTAAAATCCAATCAAAAAACAGTATTGCAATTGCAAATTACAATTTTGATGTTTAAAAGTTCTTTGCTTATTTGTATATTTTTAGGTGCCCTTTTTCCAAAAGACGCCATTTGTTTATAGCGCTCTATATTCTAAAAATGTTATTTTATACATACCTATGACATGAATATGTTTGTTCCATGTTAGGCATGATTTTTAAATGCATTTTAAATGAACAGAATTGGCTCAGAAGCGTCAATACAGCGTTGTGACCTGCTTATGCGTGTTTAGTTGTATTGGTTATCGTGCTAGTGTGTTCGCGAGAGTTGTCTGCGATGTTGCGTATTTCTAATGTTCTAGAAAGTATAATAATGGAAAGAACACATTGTCTAAACAATCCAAATAACTTTTCTGGGACATATATGTCATGATAAAGCAAAATCAAACTTTAACTTCTTTTGTGAAAAATGTATACCACGCTTATTTTAGTGTAAAAATTGACGACCAAGACAATTCCCTGGACGCCTCATACTGTTTGTTAAAAAACTAGCAAAAAGGTAGGAAGAAAGGTTTAAGCTTTGGTGTTCGTATGCTATAACGACTGCGTAACAATCACAGTGATGATTGTTATTTTTGTGCGTGTAATGATCAAGAATTCAACAGAAAAAATAAGAAACAAATTTTATATCCCAATCTTGACTCTGCTATTCGACCAGTCCTCATGGACCAAATGTACTGTAACCTACCGCCCCCAAAAAAACTAGAAAACGTCATCTTGTCAGAATCAGAGGAATCTAATTCCGACCCAGATGATTCAGATTTCACGCCAGATTTCAGAGAATCCGAAGTGTTTATCCAGAGAAAATTAAATGATTTAATTAGAGATGTGCACCTTCCAAAGGATGCATCCGAATTGTTAGCGTCCAGACTTTGTGACAAGCATTTACTGGTACCTGGCGTCACATCAAGCCTTCACTGGGATCGCGAAACGTAGTTATGTCAATATTTTACTCAGGAAGGACCGCTAGTTTCAAAATTAGGAAATGTGCAGTATATAAAAGAAGAATGGCGCCTGTTTATTGATTCAAGTAAGCGTAGTTTAAAAGTCGCTTTATTGCACGTATGAAAATTTAGGAGTTCTTTTGAAGAAAATAAACTACTAATAATATCAGTAGATGCTTTGTAGTGACCTTAAAGTGCTGCGCATGCTCCTAGGACACCAGGGGTGTTATACAAAATTTCCATACTTTATTTGTGTATGTAATGTATTAGTTGGTCCAGAAAAAGTTTAAATTAAACTTGGCTTGATAAAGTAGTTTGTTGTTAAAGCCCTAGATAAAAATGGACTGTGTTTTAAATGTTTGTGCTAGAAATTTTCAGACATATCTGATGTCAATATAAAAGAAGGTATTTTTGTTGGACCGCAGATAAACACATTATGCAAAACGCAATGAACAATGTCGAGAAAAACTCCTGAGTTTCATTTAAAGAAGTAATTGATAAGTTTATTGGGAACTCTATGTTACAACACTTTCATCTTCTGGGCTGTAATATTAGGTTGAAAGTTGCATTTCCTTTTTTCACACTATTTTCCTGAAAATCTTGGAACGATGAACATGGAAAGAGGTTTCACCAGGACATTAATGGAACGGCGATGCCAAGGCAGATGGAGCATAACGATGATGGCGGACTACTGCCGCAGTTCTGATTTTTTTCTTTTTTTGAGACGCATTATAAAACATTAAAAAAATCTAAAATAAGCGTTCCAAAATCCACTTTCGAATTTATTAAATAAGTTTCATCCGGTTTCTATCGATTTAACCGTTCAGAATATATACATTTTTTGGTCATTTGGTGTTTTTACCACCGCACGTAAGGTACATTATTTGCAAAAATGCGCCCTGCCGGTAAAAGCGCCATGCCGATTACCGTAACGATGTCAAATGAACTTAACCAAAACCGATTCGACAAGCGTAAATTTTACAAAACGTCCGCAATAATGGCGCAATAGATCTAGACCGAAAACACATTTCTAATCGAGCATTATGCGTGCGTGTTTGGTTTAAGTTTCGAAATTTACTGTGGAGAATATTTACGGCCGATAACGATCAGCAATAAATAGGTGGCAAATAATACACTCTCCAACAGGTCGGTTAATAGAAAATGAATTCTTCCACGGGCCGGTCGACGATCCAAGTAAGCTATAGTTTCGTGGATTTCAACGACCTGCTTTATTAACCACTCGTACTCTGTTATAAAATATATGCGGCGTTGCTTTTTATGCCAAGACAAAGCAAACATTCTCACCCTCTCTTTTCGTAATAACTTTTTAAAATAATAATAATAATTACGTTGCTGTTTTCGTTTATCACAAACGAAATTGGGCGTTAAGCGTTCTAAAAGCTCAAGCTCCCTACTTATATAATTATATACTTCCTCGAAATCGGTGTCCTCTATAAAAGCCAGTTATGGAAAACTACTGCCAAGTCGAACAAGTTCAGCGCCTGCCACGAAAACGGTTAGACTTTTGACCCAGCAAAGCGATGCAGATCGGCTTATCCGAGAAAAAAATCCCAACAAATCAATAAGGAATTTATCGCATAGTAATAAATTGTAATACCTGCGCCACTGTCGGTTCATAGATAATCCACCGCAACGATAGTGATCTGGCCAGTGCTATCGGCCGGAATAACTACGCGATTTCTCCTGCGTGCCTCGTAAAATCCAAAAGCAAAGCTGTCCGTAATTTTTCTCAATTTTTTTTCCACATTTATCGGCGTATGAACGAAAGCGATAACAATAACTAGGAAATATCTACCAATTAGCATATTTACCTAGTTGTTTCAATATTAGATAGTGCAACAGATCAGTGGGTTTTATGTAATTCAGACGGTCGATAGCGGGCGATATTAATAAAACATTTTACAGTAAAATTTATCGCTTCTTTGCCTAGGCGGCAAAATGACTCAAGCCAGTTTCACTTGTGGTATTGAGCGGTGATATAAGCGCTTTACGTTTTGTATCCTGCTTCGTTTGGTTGTCTGGCTCTGAAATTTTATTTTGCTTTATTGTATAGTTACTATTTTCTTTTTATATAGTATATTACGTACTAAATTCAGCAAAAATGAAATTTTACTTATCGATTTTGGCTTCGCTCGTATTTTTCCACATTTTCTACATAATTACTTATTTTGCCCTAAAAAACAAAAGTTTTTGACAATGGAAATGTCATAAAGTTTTTGAATGCGGCTCCAAAGCATACTTTTATAAGAAGTAATTTCTCGGCAGTAATTACTTTACTGTAAAATGGCCCATTACTGTACGATTTTGAGGAAATCATGATAGGATTTAATAGAAAAGAGAACAATGACGTCATCGCCTCCTTTCTCTGAAGCTATATTATTTTATAAAGTTCGTAAGGAATTGAAATTTATGAAGACTCAAAAATTGTATTATTTGAGTAAAATTGTTTAACATATGTATCTTTTAGATATTTTGCTATTTAAGTGTTGCTGTTATTTTCATGCCATTTTGGATTTATTGGTACTTCTTATTTCCACTTTTTAGGAGCGTTAAGAACTCTCCTGCGTTGTTATTTTGATCTGCATTTATTTCACCGTCTTATATTTTATTTAATTTTTTCACTAATTTGATTTTAATAAACTGCACTAAGATTTTTTAACTGTGTTGAATCCTTTTATTCTAAACAATAAAAACTTCAACAGGAATATAAAGATAGTTTATTTATGTGAAGGCAGAAGCTAGAACATAACGTATTAATGGGGTTTAACGGGGGTATACAATGTTTTTGTCCAGGAAGCTAATAATTCGAACTATAATGAAGTTTATTGTTGTTGAAAATGTGATCAACGACCACTGTCTGCCTTCACCTAAGCATAACGCACTCTTCCAGCTTTCACTTATTGGCTTTGAGAACTAGTGACTACAATTTTACCAACTAAAACACATCTACTCCCTCTTTCAAAGTACGCAAAATACCTCTCAACCAAATTTTATTCAATACTGCAAACTGCTAAATATAATCTCGACGAAAATGGGATAGGAATAGATAGTTCAAACTCGCTCATAAATTCATGGATTTTGGTCCAATGTTTGAACTTTCGTTCCATTCCATAGCAACACAGAAATCGCCACAAAAAGAAATTATTTTTGAACATATTTTCAACTGCTAAAAAGAATTTTTGAAAAAGTTTTTCGTTTGTGTTAGAATATTTTGCTGTATTTTCGAGAATTCAGAAGCGCAGTAAATATGTATACCTTTATGTTTCTTTTGTGAAATTGGTAGGAAAAACCTAGAAAAAACGATATAATAATGATTGGTCTGTGTGACGAAGACGTATGCCCTCGCCAATTTTATATTTAAAATTTTGCTCAATAAAGCTCGTCTTTGTTTGATTTATCTCGTAATAAAAAATATCAACAAGGTCAGTCTTTTGCTGAAATGTAACAATAATTCACAAACCGATGAGAACGAACAATAAACGCATAAATCACTTTCTACGCCACTGCGTCTTCGGCTGGTGCGGTGCGTTCAGTAAATGATACTCTCTGATTAATTAAGGCGATAGTGAATGAATTTTAATTGAATTTCTATTTATAAGCGCTCGTTTTGCGAAAATACAATACTGCTTGTTAAAAAAAAAAACATTTCTAAAATAACAGGGGTGTGTGGCATAGAACAAAATAAAATTACTCCCCGATAAATTTATGATTCAGATTTTATTAAAATATAATCTCACAGATCATCGCCGTTTCAAGTGTTTTCGAAACACACAGATTTTATTGGACTGAGGTGGTTCATTTTTTTAATTTTTCAAAGAAACTTCCACTTTTTACAAAACTTTCGGATTCCTTCTACGTCGGTTTTTGTTGAGCCGAACTTGCTAACGTTTCGCCAATCATCCCGTTGGCTTTTTTACAGCTTGACCGAAAATGTTCAGTTGAAGAAGCCATAATAATAGGCTTTTTTCTACTCCCGTCTGTAAAATACCTAATTACCCACCGATCTAGCGTGCGGGAAGCGTCGCTTTACCACGTCAGGTTCCTTTCCCACTAATCCGAGCCACTTCGGATATTTCCGGGATTTTACCGCACGGATTTGGGAGCAATCGGATGTTTTCGGGTATATTTCCCACGCTTTGAATTTTGACGATTTTCAATTCTGACGGTCATGTCAGTGAATACATTCGTGTTGTTTTGCGAAAATGTACCCAAAAACTAACGGTCGTAGAAAAAGTATAGTATGCAACACGTTCGGTAAATTTTTTAACTCACTCGTTTATTAAATACTCGCTCCGCTCGTGTCAAATAAACTCGTGAGCCAAATTTTTTACTTTCTTGCTTTTTGATTATGTAAAATATCAAAATTATCGACAAACTTGTGCATTTCTGAATTAAATGAATGGCATAGTTAGAAGCCGAACTTTTATTTTTATGCACCCTTTTATGTTCATTAATGCGTGTCTCCCTGTTTATCCGATATAAATTTTAGGACGTGATCCGCATTACAACTTGTAGACTCCGGATTTTTCAGTTCGTAATTTAGTTTTATTGTTTTTTAAAAAATGTCCTAGGTTGTTTTCAATTTTAAAAGCAATCTTAAGACTAGATTTAGATAGATGTTTCTAAATTTTCCTGCTAGGTTCTCCTATGTAAAAATCTCATTTGTTCTGCAGTTTAGTTATAAGTCCAGAAAGTTTAAAAAGTTATCTAGTTCCGTCTCTATGGTAAATTTTATACTGTTATGGATGCAGTTAATATGATTCAAAAAGGACTGCAGTTGTCTTTCCGTTCCAGTGAAACAGGCAAAAACATCATCTACGCATCTATACGATCAAAGAAATCTTTTACTAAGAAGTGTTTATGTTTGATATTTTCCACATTGTCCATAAAAATTTCTGCAACTAGTGGACCAAGTGGATGTCCCATAATTAATCCTTCTCTGGCATAAAATTGACCATTAAATTCAAAGTAATTTTGTTCCAAACAAACTATTAATTCAACAGTCCTGTTATGATAGGGTTGGTTTGTGTTTGAGTGAGAATATTGTCTATTAGATTTTGGACGTCAAATGAAACTAGAATTGCCTTAGAAGTAATTTTGATATTATTAAACTTGTCAATTAGTTCTAATGAATTTTTGATAACATATCTAGGTTTAAAAGCAATATGATATTCTAAAATTTTTATTATTTTTTTAAAGAATTTAATTGATGGTACTGTTAGAAAAGAAACTACTGACCTTGCGTAATTTAATTAAAGAATATAACTTTGGAGGTTGAGGATTATCAGTTGGTATTTTACCCTTTCATTAAAAAGTGATGAATCTGTAATTACAGTTTTCATTTGTTTTTGATAGAACTCGGTGGGATCATGTTATATACCTTGGTATTATCTGGTTTAAGATACTGTTTGGTTTTTGTAATATATTCTAGAGAATCGATTAAGAAACAATAAAACTGAATTATGAAAAACTCAAAAATCCGGAGTCTACAAGTTGAAGTGTTGTTTTAACTATGCCACTCATTTAAATTCAGTTTGACGATAATTTTGATATTTTACATAATCAAAAACTCCGCCTGGGGTCTCTAAGGGGTGGATTGAGTAACTCTAAAGAGACCACTGCCGGTCCCAAGCCCGGATAAAGGAGGAGGGTTGGGGCGATAGGCCAGCTCCCTATCACCCTTAAAAAACCTGTAAAATGCTAAAAAACCTAACCAAAGCCTCGGAATCGGACGGAAAAACCAAAAAAGACTTAAGCAACGAAAAAGGACAATGAACTATGGGACATGGAATGTTCAAGGACTAACCTGGAAAATGAATGAAGTAATCTCAGAAATAAAAACTCTTAAATTAGATATTGCGGTAATTGCAGAGACGAAGAGAAAGGGACAAGGATCGGAAAGCATGGGATATTACGATCACTTCTATAGTGGAGTTACGAAAGACCGGAGAGCACAACAAGGAATATCCATACTGATAAAAAGAAAGCTGAGGAGGCACATACACTCTTGGGAAGCTATCAGTGAACGAATGATTAAGATGAATTTAACTATATATGTGTACAGAGTAACTATTTTTGGTGTGTATGGAGTAAATGACGACTCTCTAGTGAATACAAAAGACCAATTCTTCGAGGACCTAAACCAGGAAATAACAAAAGTAGGGAAAACGAGAGAAATTATTATACTTGGAGACTTGAACTGCAGAGTGGGCAAAAATAGAGACAGCCAAGTAGTAGGACCATATGGAGAAGAGACAAAAAATGATAACGGAAATCGATTGATAACTTTATGTGAACAAAATGATCTTAAAATAATGAATGGATTCTACCAACATCGGGACATTCATAAATACACGTGGACACAATCTACAAGAAACCTAAAATCAATTATTGATCACACAATTATGAGACAAGAAACGAAATTGACCGTACAAGATGTCAGGATCCTTAGGGGAGTCACATGTGGTAGCGACCATCACTTACTCAGAAGCACAATTGTACATAACACAAAAAGAGACAAACACGAAGTAGAAAAGCCGAAAATACAAACAACTACAAAAAGATATAATTTAGATGGGCTCGACCATGAAGGTACAAGGGAACTATATAGGAAACGTCTAGATCAGAAGTTAACAGAAACGAGATTCCAAATTCCTGAAGAATATCATGAATATATCAAAACGTGCATCCACTCGGCTGCATTTGAAGCATTAGGAACATATGAGACTACAAAAACTAAAAAACCGTATTGGTGGGACCCAGATATAGAAAACGACATAAAAGAGAAAAGAGAGAAATATTAGAAATACCTAAACAAAAAAACTGACGGCGACAAAACGGAATATAAGAAAGCTCAAGCTCGCGTTCGAAGAAAGATAACTGAGAAGAAAAATAAATCCTGGGAAAGAAACTGCTCCAAAATAAATACATATCTAGGTGGCACAAAAAGTACGGAGAGCTGGCGATTAATAAATCAATTAAGGCAAAACCAAAAGAAGGACATAATATCAACAATAACAATAACAAACAAATAATGAAATATCACAAGTAACAATAATAGCATCTCCGTTAAGAATAACGACGAAAGAAGTTAAAGAAATATGTAAAAACCTAAAAAACCGAAAGTCCGCTGGTCCAGGAGAAATACCAGGAGAACTAATAAAATACGGGACGGAGAATTTATATCGCCATCTAACAAAATTGTTTCAGATGTGCATAGACGGGGCTGATATACCAAGTGACTGGAAAGGCATATATATCACAACTATTTTTAAGAAAGGAAGTAGGGACAGTTGCTCAAACTATAGAGGACTAGCAGTAACGAGCACACTAAGTAGAGTATATGGTAAAATATTGAAAAAGAAAATTGAAGCTGAATATAAGGAGATAGAAATAGAGGAACAAGCGGGATTTAGAGCTGGGAGATCAACAGTAGACCATTTGTATACAGTAACACAGGTTTTAGAGAAAAAAACAGCCAAAGATCAGGAGGTACATCTCCTCTACATAGACCTTCAAAAGGCTTATGACAGCATACCTCTAGAGAAACTATGGGAGGCTTTAGAAAAAACGAACATTAATTCAAATGCGATAAAAGCGGTCAAAAATCTATATAAAGATATAACAGCTAAAGTCAAAATACAGGACACTTTTTCCGAGCCCATACCAATTACAAAGGGCCTCAAACAAGGATGCTGCCTGTCTCCTGTATTATTCAAAATATACCTACAACAAGCCTTACAAAAATGGATGAACAAATGCAGAGGAATGGGAATCCCACTATTAAATGAAACAACATTATATACCCTTTTCTTTGCGGATGATCAAATACTCTTAGCACAAGATCATGATGATCTAGAATATATGGCACGAAAGTTAGTAGAAGAGTATGGAAAATGGGGATTAGAAGTTAACATCACAAAAACTGAAAGTATGACTGTAGGAGGAACATCTGGAAATATAACATTGGAAGACGGAAGCCTAATAAAAGACTGCCAGGAGTATAAATATCTAGGACTAAAAATAACGCAGGACGGAAGACTAGATGAGGGAATAAAAGAAAGAATAATACAAGGAAGAAAAGCAATAGCCATGCTGAATGGGATCTTGTGGGACCAAAGTATATCCAAAACTAATAAAAAAACCATATATAATACAATAATAAAAAGTATCATCATATACGGAAGTGAGGTATGGCAGCTAAAGAACAAAACAGAAAATATGTTACTAGCAACCGAAATGGACTTCTGGAGGAGATCGGCTGGAAGATCAAAAAAAGAAAAATTAACAAATAAAAAGATAAGAGAGATCATGGGAATAAAACATACAATAGTAGACGACATAAAAACAAAACAACTTATATGGTTTGGACACGTACAGCGCATGCCCGAAAACCGAATCCCGAAACAAATACTATTGTGGACACCGCAAGGGAAAAATAAAAGGGGAAGGCCTAGAAAAAGTTGGAAGGAGGGAACAGAAAAGGAACTAATAGAAAGAGAATTACCAGACCAGCTATGGTTAAATAATGAGTGGAGGTTAGGTGTCGGAAAACGGCGTAGAACGTTCTAGACCGACATATATATATATATATATATATATATATATATATATATATATATATATATATATATATATATATATATATATATATATATATATATATACATAATCAATCAAAAAGCAAAAAGCTAAATTTGTTGTGAGCCATGGAGATTAACAAAATGCGTTAAATTTAAATTTATAACCCTGCAACTGTAATTAAGAATCTACCTCATTGTACATATAGGTGTCAAAATACTTTGTATTTGATAAAGGCACGATGTTCAATAATGTTCTGGGGAATGAGGCACACACAGAGCTGCTTCCTATTTGCCCGATGTCTATGAATGCAGAATTCTTTCCCGAAAATATTATTCAAAAACGCATAATGCTGTTCGCACCATTTATAGCAGATTTACGCAAGATGTTTGGAATTACTTATCCAAATTCAACATCCAGATCTTGGAGTGGTCACCTCGCACTCCAGACTTGAATTCAACAGTAGTACTTCCTTCATCAGTTCCTTCTAGTCGTGCTTGTGTGCAGGTGGCCTCTAAGACATTCACGTTGCTCTTTATTTTCCTGCGACAATTTCTAGGGGAGCGGTCATCCGGAGATAGCCAAAACCACGCCGATATTCATTTCAAATTTAAGTAATCACTCAGCAGAACTTTTTCTAGACCGTTACAGACCGATGTAACTTTTAAAAATCTCTAATTGGGTTTGTGCGAGATTCGCCGATTGGCGCGCCGTATAGTATCGGGTCGTATCTGCGGAATGCTTGGCCACCTTAAAAAAAAGGATAGAAATATCCGTTCCGACTTTTAAATCAAACAAAGAGGAATCCTAATCAGATTCCTATACCTGTCGGTGCGGAGAGAGAATGTCAATTGACACTGCGAGATGCTGAGTAAGATAAAAGTTTGTCGGTTTTTCTGATGTCCGATCGAATGATAATAATGGCATGCTTATGGAAAAAGATAATCGACGATTTAATGCGTTTGCGTTAATAATGCGCAGAGACGTGCTACTACGTGCGCAATATAACAGTTTCGCAGAGACGTGCTACTACGTGCGCAATATAACAGTTTTGCAGAATGTGTGCAAGCGGGCATATAGGGCAACTACAGGGTCTCCGGTTTTAGTTATTTATTTATTTATTTATTTTTGAAAATTTTGAGAAACTTAAATTCAAAATGCAATTAGTAATACTGATTATTAGATCCAATATAAATATTGAACTCTGTGTTCTACAGTGTGTCTCACTTAAGAATTGTACACCCTTGCGAAATCTTTGTTCTTGAATCGATTTTGATAAAAAAAATTTGTTGGATCGATTTCTGAAAAATGTACTAAAACTTTGTTTTGCTTATTGCTTCAAGTTAAAGTCATGGCCAACTAATACTATTTAACGAATGAGGGAGAAGGGAGAAGTACTATTAGCGATTTTTTAAACATATCATACCTTATTTTCAATACAGGGTTTTTGAAATATCATTTGCGCTCCGCTCAGCTCCATCGTTGTATCTTTGGTTACGGTTTTATTTTGAGAATTTTTGTTGTTGAATAGATCTCTCAAAGACGCTTCTTTTTACATCAATCAATTCATCATGGCCAACTGGGAATAATTGTTGATGTCAAATATATATTTCAAAAAATACAGCATTCATATTCTTATCTAATCCTTTCAAATGATATTTAATTTAAAGAAAATTGTTAGGGTCCGTGAAATTTATCAAAAAAAAAAAAAGAAAGAATTATTAAAATTGAGCCATAAACAAACACTCTACAGGAGTAATGCTTAAGCGAAGCGCCCGCGATATTTTGAGCGCTCTGTATTTGAACTTAATGGAAATTAGTATAGTTAGGTTTTATGTAGTCCTAAATTAGAATTCGTTAACATGTTATTTTTAAAGAAATCCCTAATAGCCCTTAAAATGTTTGACATTAAAAATTAGTTCCAGTTGGCCATGACTTCAGGTTGATATAATTAGAAACATATGGTTTTAGTGCGTTTTTGAGAGATCTATGCAACAAAACAAAAATCAAAATTTACCCTAACCAAAGATTTTACAACGATGTACAGCCTTAACGATATTTCAAACACCCGGTATTGAAACACTATAAAAATTGGTAAGGTTGTGTTCTAAATACTGCTTAATAAGAATTAGTTGCCATATATATATATATATATATATATATATATATATATATATATATATATATATATATATATATATATATATATATATATATATATATATATATATATATATTAAATCCCTAATAGTATTTTTCTCTTTTATTAAATAGTCTCAGTTGCCCATGACTTTAAGTTGTAGCAATAAGCAAAACAAGAATTTAGTGCACTTTTCAGAGATCTATCCAATAAAAAAGTTATCAAAATCGATCTATAATTAAAGATTTTACAAGGGTGTAAAGTTCTTAAGTGCGCCACCTGTATATAAACTGACCCACTTCATTGAATTTGGCCAACAAGCTTGTATGAGATTCATATTTAAGTGACAACGTGTTTTATGTTAACTTAAATTCCCTTTTCTGTATTACGAAAAAAATGAACAAAATATAAAAGTACCAGTAATGACGCTTAAATATAAACGTCAGGAAAACAGATTAGAAGTAGGAAAAAAGACAAAGAACTAAAAGAACAGCAAAAAGTCTGTAACAGAGTTCAGCAAGGGAAAAAGGCGATACGTTGTGACGATATAGAAGTACGTATTCGCAATCTCGGAAAGAAGACAAAAAAAAAATAGAAATGAATTTGTTTATCTAGAGCAGGTTGAATATAATTACCAAATAAGATGACGAACAGGAAGAGTAATCACGAGCACTAATATATACAGTGGAAACAAACCTGTTGTGAAAGATGCCCAAAGTTAGTTTAGTTAATAAACAGAAGAAGAAAAAGACCCGTCCGAAAATTGGTAAAAGGGATTAGAGAAGCCGTGATAGACAATGCGATAACAGAAGATGACTGGAGAGATGAAAACAATGAAGGTCGAAAAGTTTCAAAACTTCTCTAGACTATTCGGTTTAATATTGATTCATATCAATTTGGAAATTAATTAAGTATTAATATAAATTTCAGTTCGAGTGGACGATAGTTAGTAACTTGACGTTTTGATGAAGTGCGACAGATTTTGACTTGGGACTAAACATAATATGATAACCGACTCCATCCATCTTTTCAAATAAGCTAGATAGTACATAGACAACACCCGAAATCCGGACACCCCGTATATATTTCGGAAAGGTAGTTTATGATTGCAAAGGCAAGTTTATTTCTAAATCAGCAGCCCATGGCAACGATTGGATCGGTAGATACCAAATTGACTTATTGTGCTTAATACGTAATCGTTTGGAAGAATTTGATTTTGGCTTCCAAAATGTCGAGTAGCCATTTTTCGTGGAAATCGTGTACGCCGGGTCTATTGATGCGCCGTGACGTTTCATACGTAAAGGTAACATCGACCAAACACTGAGGCGGTTGAATCCTAGAAACCTCGATAGTGAAATAGACGCTGGCCGTTGCCTGCGGAATGGGGTAGCTAAAAACAAGAACAGCAGCGTAGCGTATTTGCTAGAATCTTCGCGCGTCGTTTACCTGGCGGTTGGTAAGCCGAAAATGGCCTCGTAGTTATGTAAACAAGAAGTCGGTTTATCTTGGGAGCCGTTGTAATGGACAGCGAATGTCCAGTCTTCGTCGGTAAAGAATGATGCTAAGTATTCCTCGATCTTATCGCATCCTATTTCGGCGGAAAATGTCCCGACGGTAGGCCAACCACTGAAGTAAATGTCTGCGACGGAAAAATCCGCAGAGTCGGCTGAACTATCCGCTTCATCATTTTCCGGCTAAACGAAAAACGCTTAATCGGATGTTTGGGAAATTAAAATAATATAATATAAAAGTCACTGTTCGTATTAATTTTCGGCTGCAGTTTCTGCGTATAGACATCTCATCGAGTTTAAAAATTAAAGCCCAATTTCGCCTAAAACTCAGTTAAAAAAAATTATATTTTAGGATGGAATTTGTAAATCCTTTTAAAAATAATCCAAACAAATATTTTGTTAGTTTACCGTGATATTTTGTGTTTTGTGAAGTTTACAAATACAAACTGAGCAAGTTGCAATTCGAATGAAACCCGATGTAGTTCAGTAAGATGCGGACAAATGATGAATTTCAGAAATTTTCTCTGTGCAATAAGAAACATTACTATCCAATCCTGAACCTGCAGAAGTCCTACCGAACATGAAAAAATCCTCAGCAATAAGGCAACACTCGAGACTGAATCAAAAAGGAAATTGAAAGTGTGTCGGTATCAATTTTACAAGGCCCATTAAAAAAAAGTATTCAGGAACGAGGAAAGAGGGCAAAATGATAATCTTTAACAATAGCAGTCCTCTCCAAATTAAGTATAGCACCATGTATTTCAAATTTTTAGAACATGATGTAGAAAAAAATCTTAGTTTTGTATCTTTTGGAATTTAAATTGTCTAAAAGTTATGCAACCACATGAATTTTTCAGAATATCTGAAAATAACTGGTACTAATCTTATTTTATTGCTTGTTTATAACCTAGAGATCGATATACATAGAACACAACAATGATAAGGAAATTTCTTTCCTTTGTTTTTCAAAAACTGATGCATTAAAAGTGTGTTATTATTCAGAACATATTCAGAACAGACAAAATTATTTGATTTTGTGAAAACGCCTGTTGTATACCTTGGACAATTTTTGCGAATCTTTGAAAACCTCCCTCAGCAATTTTTTTGCGAAAGTCACGATATCTAAGAAATCGCGGCACGTTGCTACGTGGTCGATTATTAGGACTTCGCTAGACGCGAAACTTAATTCTGTTCCATTGCCCGGCTTGGTGAATTCCCCATTATGTAGCTTTTCCAGAGTAACCATCGATGATTCGTCAATTGGGTTCTTGAGGAATAGTTCCGCAATATTTCTACTGTGAAATTGGCTTAGGGGAACAGAAACATCTGCTTTTTCCGTTGTGTCCACATGATGTTCGTCGAAAGTGGTCTTAGATAGTGACGATCCAAGTGAATTTTCCATTGTCGCATCAATAATGATAAAATTTATCGAAGCACATCCCCAACCCAAACTCTTGCAAAAAACTCCTCAGTTTGGAGAATTATTTTTTCACCATGAATGCCAAAAATATTGTTGTCAAAACATAAATGTCAAAACTAACGTTGTGTCAACATTAGACTCCGAGAAGAGTATATTATGCAATAAAGGAGAATGACTAAAGAAGATTATCAACGTGCTGGCATACTATACATTTTCTACGACCACTTTGCAAAACAGCACGATTACATTCATGAGCGCACGTACCCAAAATTTGAAAAATTTAGATCGTTCCCAAGATCGCAATGCAAATAACCTTATATCCAAAGCAGACCCGCCTCAAGCGTTGATAAAAAAATAGAATATTCTTATTTCAAAACTTTCAATTCTGAATCAGATGAAAGAAAAGATTAGAACATCCATAAAGAATGTATGCCTGCTTCTTCAATTCCAACTATTCCTTGATAAGCTTTTCATGACCGAAAAACCACAACATTAATTTGATTTAATGGCGATCAGGATCGGTTCGCGAACTCTGGGCAACTGTTAAGTGTCATAAACTGTCATATCGGACACATGTCGTCAGAGCTTCAACTTATTATGAAGGGCAAGTTAGAGAGACGTGGAGGAGTAGCAACGAAATAAATCTCTTGGATGAGGACTACATATACCGGAATGCGCAGTCCAGAACGACTGAAGTGAGAGACCAACTTGCCCCTGCAAGTGCCAACGTCAAAAGGACCTGACAAGCCACAAGAAGAATGTGATTGACATATTAATCAGCAAAACGTAAAATTGTCTTATATTTTACTCGATGTGCAAATTGGTAATGACATTTTGACATCTCGAGATGCGGTTTGAGTTTAAACCTGTCCAATCGACAGTTTTTTATTAACAATGAGTTAAGCGTTCTTTTTATATGGGCTGTTATTACTACGAATTATATTTAAAAAATTAGTCATTGCCCAACTTGCCTCATACAAAATGTTCTTGGTCGCTGCTCGCGCTTTAAAAATGATGTCCCTGACGAAGTTCTTAGCAAAGGTAACGCGATCCGAAAACTCTAAACATTTTCCATCTTTAAAACGTCGCAGTGTCGCTCGTGGCTTTACTTCGATCTTTGTTTCTGAACGAGTTTAAATATTATCTAACCACGTGCTTGGAAATTTTGGATTTGAAGTGTACCTTTGTCGCGTGTTGTCGCGGCTTCTTCCCTGCTTTCAAGTTCGCGTTTCTTTATATACTCGTGTATGCTCGTATCCGAGTCAATTTCCGACGTTTCCGTCGCAATCACTTTTGGGATTCTTACAATGAAGCAAACATCGTCCCAGCAATGATATCGTTTCCCGATTTCAGGTTTTTCTGTTTTTTCCTCCATATTATCAATGCATGTGAGCTGCCAACGTATTTCAATAAGGAATAATTACAAATAGACGTATTCAGGCGAACGTCAAAATTGTTTATTTGATGCGCTATAGAAACAGATAGATTTAGGATTCAAGTATTATTTTTAGTTTTTTGCTTTAATGCTAGTCTAGACTAAATATTTGAGAATTTTTACAAAAATACCATACAGGTTTGCTTCACGTACAGAGTGGTGAGAAGTGCTTACCGTATTCCAAATAAGGTATATTTGGTATAGTCACCCCTTCGTCAATAGATCTACTTTTTTCAGATTAAAAGACTATTTGCGAAAAATCCAACAGTCATAAAAATCATGATTAAATAAAATAAATTGAAGCTTTAAGAATTAAATATATATCATACGTTTAGTTCTTTTAATTGAATTGAATTGAAGAAAAATATTCTAAAAAGCTAGTTTAAAAATATAAAAATACGGACATAAGAGTTTCATTTCATCATATATAAAGATGCAGAAAATATTATGCGTCCAACTAACTAAAACTAAACTTTGATATTTTGTTAAGTCGATCTGAGACAGGCGTTTATGCAAAAATTGTGTAACTAAATAAGCGAACTAATCATATGTAGCTACCGATGATGTCGGTGATATCTGTGCCACAGCATTTCCTATTCTTCGGAAAAGGTTTAGCGGCATTGTACATTAGATTTGAGTTGTTGATAATATACAAATCGATGAGTTCAAAAATCATTTTTACTATGCTAGTAAAGTGCTAGTAAAATTTTGAAGCGGGTTTTGAAACAACAACCCGCGATGAGGCGTCAGGCGCAGGTGAATGATTGGATCAGAACCCTTTTGTGGGGTCGCTAAATCCATGGCGAAATCAACCATTAAAAATGTATGGAATACGAATTTCGGCCATTACAAAGACAGGCCGTCGGCCTAATTTACAGTAGATCTGCCTAGCCATGAATGGAAGGCCGTATAATGGTAGATTTATTGACTCACCGGCAGCGTAAAAACCATCTAAGTCTAATGGCAATGGAAAAAAACACTAACGAGCTACACCAATTAGCCACTATCGATGCCTTGGGGTGAAAAGACTTTTTTTTATTATAAACTTGTATTTGAACTTAGAGGTCTAACTAAAGTTTATCAGAGATCAATATTACCTATGGTCGGGGTTTCCTTTGTTACGCGCCTCCCGAAGCGTTTCACGTTCTACGCCCCTGTTCGCGTATCCATAAGTTAAATCTGCAATTGAAATTGTTTGTTCCGCGCTCGACACCATAGGTGCGACTTTACGTTATTGCCAGGCTTGCCAGAACTAACTCCGAGCGAGTCCCCAGTAATTTCAAATATAACTTTGATCTCGTTATCGAATTACGTATATACGGCCGTCGTTGTCGGGACACGTTTACGAGATCTCTGATTAAATTTTACATCGCACTTTGGAGTTTATGCGAACGATTATTGGATGTATTCGTTCGTAAAAAAAGCTCCTCGGTTTCTTTTTTGCTTTTTCCCTTCGCGTGTATCCGATTTAATCGCACGCGAGAGGAGAAAACCGTTCGGCCCAATTTAGGCGGTTACTTTATGGGAACTATTACACGCTAAAATGGCGTGTATCTTAATCAGGTTGTGTGTATTCCCCACCCCCATATGGCACGCTTTTTATACGGCTGTTGGCCACCGACGGTCGTAAAATTTAAATTTTGACTAAAACGCGCGTTTAGTAGGACCACTTTTAAAACTGATGCGCGGGCAGATGAAAGATAATCTGAATACATAAAAAGCGGCAACGCAGTATGAGTCATAAATGCTTGGCTGTAAAGGGCGGTTACACATTTATCGGTACTACACACTCTTAAAATGGCGCCCAATGAATAAGCGGAGCGGATTTCACCGTTAGATCGACTTTTATGATACTTAAAATACTTAATTTTTGTGATGCTATTAAGTTTTATGAATTTATTTTTATTTATTTATCTTATCTTGGTTTTGAAATGTTCGTGGAGGTCTAGGGAAGGTTTAAATGTGAAAAAAAATCATAATAATTGCCAGGAAAACCCTAAAAACAGCCCTTTTCTTTTTCCCATATAAACGATGCATTAAACCACGAGTTGCAAAGAGAACAACAGTGCTACATCGAAGCATTGGCCGAAACAGTTCGTACAAATGTTCCACAATTAAATCAATAACAAAGAATTGTGTACAACATTTTGATGGAAGTTGTGAACAGTGGATCTGGTGGAATTTATGTCCTTGATGCTCTCGGAGAAACCGGAAAAACGTTATTAATGTCATTGTTTTGGCGTTGGCTTCCTCTGGAATAGCTGCGACACTGCTAGAACGCTGGCGAATTGCACATTCTGCCTCGAAATTACCATTAAACATGCAAGTCACCGAAACACCAATTTTCAAAATCGCAAAAAATAGCACAATGGCTAAGATCCTACAGGTATGCAAATTGAATGTTTGGGATTGTTGGGATAAGACGTCACTGGAGGCACTGGACAGAACGTTGAAAGATCTTCGTGACAGCCAAAATATTTTTGGTGGGGCCATGATTCTGGAGTCAGGTGATTTTCGTCAGACTCTTCCAGTTATTCCCCGATAAACTGTTGCTGTTGCGAATTTGTGCAGTATGTAAAGACACTCCAATCCAGTATTTTTGCAACAAGATGAAACTGCAAATGTGTTTGCGAAGCAGTTGTTAGACATTGGAAATAATGAAGTTGCAGTGGACACCTCGACCGAAGGAGCTTATTCAGCGTGTTTTCCCATCTACGAGTATAGCGCAAAAGTACAACAACCATTGGCTGGGTGAACGAGCAATATTGGCGGCGAAAAATAAAGATGTCGAGGGTCTCAATGCGACCATTCAGAATTTTCGTCGAGGACAGTTGGTTTCTTTCAAATCAGTCGACACCGTTATAAACCAGGATGACCTAGTCAACTATCCCACGGAGTTTTTAAATTCAATGGAATTGTCTGAATTACCAAAACACAATTTGCAGTTAAAGGTAGGATGATTCCGACTGATTTGCGATTCGATTTTAAACGCTTACAATTTCCAGTACGTTTGGCCTTTGCGATAACCATAAATAAATCTTAAGGACAGTCGTTAGAAGTTTGCGGAATCAACTTGGAGTTTCCCTGTCTCGCGCATGGCTATACGTCACGTGTTCGCTCGTCGCAAAGTTGTTCTGTGTTTATATACGCAGCACAGAACAAAAAAAAATTTACATTTTACATTAACAGGCTGTATTATAACACGTGTGTGTAAATTTATACCTTATACCAGGAAAGCTCTGTTTTATAATAATAAAACTTCATGCTTCATTTTTTCATTTTTTGTTCGTTTTAAAATTATTTTATACAAAAGTTTAGACCTTTTATTTATCGAAGTCTAGCTAGTATTTTTATATTTCCAACATTATTCGTAGGAAGAATTCCGATTATGAATTTGTTTAGGAGGAAAGGAATTTTTGCAGAGTTATTTTCTGATCTTCGGCGCGATCACTTTTTATCACGTTACCACCACTAAACACCATTCTCACAGTTTGGGTAGGGTTGATTTTGAGACGATCGCTTAACATTATAGTGGTTTCATATACATTTTAAGAGCGCCACGGCATCAGCCAACCCTGTCTTAAGATTTTTGAAACGCGTTTAAACATTACAACATTACAGGTTTCCAAAAAACATCTCGCGTTTGGTCCTCTTG